GGGGGTCAACCAGTACTTCGTGAAGTGGTTAAATCTTTCATAAGAAGTGCATCTGTCTGGAGTCGATAGCTTTGTTTCTATGTTTTGAAGGGTTTTTTGAATCTTTCAGCAGTTCGCCATCTGGATTGGTTTGGCTATTTTGCATTCGTTGCTTCTTTTCTTCCTTTCCTTCGCTTATCTGTACAATCCTGTTGCTTGGCCCAATGGCAGAGTTGGTGGCTGGTTGATGCTCGGCAATTCATGCTATTCGGTACGTTAGCCTCATTTTATTACTCTTCAGTATTGCCGTGCACGGGCGTTATAAGCTGTGCTTGATTTGTAGATGCGTCCTTATAAAGTAATTGGACAGCGTACGGGCTGCTCTTGCGAAGTTGCGTTTTTTGCATAGTTCCCCGCAGTTTTTGTCGCTACCGGCACCGGTTTTTTCGGCAAACGTTTCTTGCTAGACAAATTAAGATTGGCCGTTAGAACTGTTAGGAAACATCCTCTTAAAATTTCAGCTTCCTAGCTTTCCAGACTCCTGAGTTAACAGCTTACCCGAAAAAAATTTGGCCGTCAAAGTTTTTTTTGCTACCGGGAGCCTGGTTTTGAGCTCAATGAGACTTAGGTGAACGGGAAATATCCTCTTAAAATTACAGTCCTTGAGCTTTTCAAATTCCCGAGTTATCAGCTTAGCAAAAAAAACTTTGACGAGCCCGTGCGTGGGTGTCACGCACACCCGAGAGCTGGGCCTGAACGGGAAGCATCCCCTTAGGATTTCAGGTTTCTAGCTTCTTGGATCCCCGAGCTATGAGCTTACCCGAAAAAAGTTTTGGCGGGCCCGTATGTGGGTACCACGCTTACCCGGGGGCTGGGTGGGCTCATTAATACCCACTTGAACGGGGAGCATCCCCTTAAAATTTTATCTTTCTAACTTCTCAGATCCCCGAGTTATGAACTTGTCCGAAAAAAATTTTGGCGGACCCGTACGCGACTACCACGCCTACCCAGGGGCTAAGAGCAGTTTATTTTGCCAGATAAATGGTTTGAAAATGTACTTAGGCTTGAACAAGAGCAGCCGAGTTTTTCTGAATGCCTGAGCAGATACTGATTTTGTTAACTCAACTGTTCGGAAGAGGCAACCATTGGCTGAGTCGGTGAAGTTGATCCATGCAGTATTTAAAGCTAAGTTAGCACAAAATCACGATGAAACTGTAAGCCATGAAGGTTTCTATTTTTGCGTGAACATTATAAAAAAAAAAGGCCAACTAATTTAACAGCAAGTATTCGCTGAAAAAAAAAAAAAAAAACAAATGCAAGAACGTTGCTCTAGGCTTTACTTCAGTGCACACAAGTCATTATTTTTAACAATACGCTTGCTTTCGGATTATCGATTTTTTTATTTTGTAATTCAAACTTTAAGCCACCCCAAGTTGTGTTTTTTTTTTCAGTTTGTTGTAGCAACAGTTTGCCTAAAAGCGCTGTTGGAGTGTGATTCGTGGACTGTTGTTATTGTGCTTTCATGTATCGGCTCAATTTTATTGTGGTTTATCTTTGTCGCTGTCTACTCGGTGGTAATTTTTGCATAATTTTGGTTTCTGTTCATCAGGTTGTTGCCGCTTTTTGTTCCTCTTCCTTTTTCTTTGTAAGGAAAAGAATCATTTTTCTCTCCTTCTCTCCTTCCGCTCGCCTTATTTTCATTTCTCAGCAACAAAAAAGTCGCTGACAAAAACAGGCATCTCTTTTAATGTGAAAAATTTGTGCAATCTTAAAATAATAACTTCTATTTTTTAAAGTTTTGGCAATAAAAATTTGTTACTTCTGCATTCCTTCATTCGATTTGTAAATTTTTATGCACCGTCTGGGTCGGTTTTAATGTTCCTTTGTCTGTGGATGGGCAAATAAGTTCACGCTGCCAGCATTCCTCCTTTTTCTAAGGTCAAAAATAGGCTTATTTCTACCAGATGCCAGTGCTTTACGAGGATGGTATTTTCGATTTGCGATTTGTTCCTCACTTCTCACCAC